GATACAGTAAATAAACATATTTAGGCACACTACATTTATTTCAACTTTTGATATAAAACAATAATACAGGGTAAAAATTTAAAAATCTAAAACTTATATGAGTACCATTTGGTAAATAAATTAAATGGTTCCATTTGTATGACAATGTATTATAACATAATATCAGTGTTGGTAATGGTTACAAACTCCATGCATTACTGGTGTGACTTTATCGTTTTAAAATGCTTATTTCTCAAAAACTGCTTGAGATACAACAAATGGTTAAATTTAGGTACACTATGTTAGTTCCAACTTTTAAACAACAAAAAACAATAATCTTACTAATATTATAAATCTGAAAGTTTGTGAGTTTGTGTGTATGTTTGTGTGTATGTTTGTGTGTGTGTTTGTGTGTGTGTTGCTCAATCACGCATAAACTACTGGACGGATTGGGCTGAAATTTGGCATGATAATAGCTCACATTCCCGATTAACATTAAAGCATATTCTTATCTCAAAAACCCTTTCGGGCTCCGCCCCAGTGGCTCTGTAGTTCCCCATGATAATCTTATGATTTTTCATATTTAAAAGGAATTAATGAATGTTAACAGCTGTTTCAATTAAACAAGTTGGTTCTGTTCTATGATGTTCAATAGCATAAAAGTTAAAAGGATTACCAACAGGGTGCAGCACTATTAATTTTTTTTTAAATATATGACAACAGCTAATTTCCAACCAAAAGGTGAGTGAGCGTAGCGAACGAACTTCAACCAGGAGGCGAGTTAGCGTAGCGAACGAGCTAACCTGAATGCAAGTGAGCGCAGCGAACGAGCTCCAACCTAAAGGTGAGTGAGCGTAGCGAACGAACTTCAACCAGGACGTGAATGAGCCATGCGAATACTTATGAAGTTAAACGGGGCGAAGCCCGCGGGTACAGCTAGTACAACATAAAAATCAAATACTACTTTAACATTATTTTAAATGAGTACAAATAAATCAAACAGTTATCATGAAAATGTTATAAGTCTATACTTAATTCCATTATTTTAAAAGTCCATTATTAAATATTCTAAATTTGTGATTTAATCACCAGACATCCCTATAACTCAAAAGAATTATATTATTTTATATGAGTACAAATAAATCAAACCATTTTCATTTGTATGCCAATGCATTGTAATATAATTATAGCATTAGTAAATAAAGGTCTGATTTATTGTTTAAAAATACTTATATCTAAAAAAAAGGCTAGATATACAACAAAACAGCTAAAATTCCAGCAACCAAAATAGCCTTCAACATAATAATACAGCATAAAAAGTTAAACAATTTAAAACCATTTACCAGTTTCTTTTGTATGTAAATGTGTTATAATATAATTTCAACAATAGCAATAGTTTCAAACTCTAGGTATTACCAGCACGGCACTGTCGGGGGCATGACGATGTTCAAAGTGATGCACCTCCTATCACTTACATGTTTGTCTAGCTTCTAATAAAAATATTTATAGCATGAAATTTATGTATTAAAATTCTACATGAACTACTGTTTAATACAATATAAATATAATTTAATTTGTGTCAGTGTGTAATTATTAATTATGGAAAATATAAAAAGGTTACTTTGAGTAAACATGAAAAAGTGAGTAAGCGAGGATTTTTTTTATTTTTCGGTCAGAGAAAAACTTTCAGTGGAAGAAGTATAGATGATTAGATGTTACTCAATTTTTGTTTCAAACATTTTTTCATAAGACTTTTAGTTTGTCATCATTGGGGATCAGAAGTATGCCTATGGGTCAGGAGCACACACGAGTTCGCGTGCCGAGAGCCGGGTCTTTAAAAAAAGTGGTCAAAAAAAGCTCTTCATTTCCAGACATGTTTTTCAGTATTAATAACATTTTTTTACCAAAAAAGTGCCCCCATATAGCCTCTAAAACGCCAAAAATGGGGTAAAACCATCATATTATAGCTATTTGGGGTGTTTTTTCGCCAAAAAAATTAAAAGTCTTGGATCCAAAAACGCCGAAAGTGGGGTCATATTCTGGGTTTACCACTACTGACCTACGGTAATAGCTTATTCCCTATATGAGGAATTTGCTAAAAAAAACAACCTGAAACAAAACCCATGTACAGTTAATACAATTTATGTCTATCCTTTGTATTTAAAAAGCATGACATCATTTTATATGTACGTAATAATTTTTTAGGATGTTATGTTTGAACAAAATAATTGCATTATCATAATTTGATTATCATGAATTACTCATACATCGAATTGCAATTTTCCCTTACAACTTCTTTCCCCCCTGATCTTATATTTTAAACACTTGGGGTAAGACGAGTCCATCATAGACTCGGTTTTTAATTTCTTGTCTTATCAAAGCCGCAGCGGTAGAAACGATTCTCTTAATCTTGTCATCGTTATGCCTTTTATTTTAAGAGTACCAAGTTTCAGAGAACATCTTGTCCACCCTATCTCTTAAACAAACTATTATTTATTTTTATGTTCGTAGTCTAATAAGAAGTCTTTTACCAAGTGATTAAGTAATAATAAATGTTTTGAAGTACTTCGTTTCATAAACCTGGACTCTGTCTGATATATTTTTCATCAATTGCAAAAGGTTAGGAATACTATGCTGGCATAAATCATTTTCCTCAATGAAATTGCAAACTTTTATGAATGATTCTTTTAATAAATCGTTAACTGGTCTACCACGACCTGCACACGTATTGGGTGATTGAATGGGTTGTTTCAAAAACCTAGCAAGGTAAACAAATCCTTCTAGCCTGGACCTAACCCTAATCGCCCCAATAATTTTTCCTATTTTCAATACATTTACTTATAGTTTGTTTAGTAGTTGAATTACAGTACGAACTGAATCGACTGATTTCCTATTGTTTTTTGGTGTCTTAAAATAAAAAAATCTAGAAAATTACAAAAAAGGGTAGATACGTCGTGCACGAGTGCGGTAACGGAACAGCTATGGAGCGCCACATAAAAATGGTGCACACCATGAGTTCACTGTTAATTTAAAGCGTTACATAACCATAAAGTACACGTTTCAATATATAATTTTAAAGCTGATAGCAGCTACAATTTTGTTTGGAAAATACTTTCATAAAATGACGGCGTTAAAAGTTTTGCAAAAAAATTAAATTACAAGTCCAAAAAATATTAATCTTTACACTATTCTACGGATAACAAACAAACGGTAACAGTTACGACGAGATTTAACTGGACATGATTGTAGGAAATGTTATTACAAATAATAAAACAATTGCAATTCGATGTATGTTACATTTTTAACTTCCAGATCTTTGTTCAAAGATAACATCCTTAAAAAAATACTACAAACCTAAAAAAATAATTACATGCTTTTTAAATAATAAACTAAATAATTTTTTTAAATGAATAAAAAAAATTAACTTTAAATGTTATCAACTTTACGTGGGGATTTCGATTGTTGTTTTTTTTTTTTTTATAATACAATAGTGTATCTAAAGTAAAAAAGAAATTCTCCACATTACAACAATGATAGTATTTTGTGCCAGTCCCACCTAGACCAAACCCACTGATTGAGTACACTGCATTGCAGTAAGTACTATTATACACCATTTTAAAGCTAATGTAAGCAGCTATAACTTTTGTTCTAAACATATTTTCATAAAACGTCAGCGACAAAAAATTATATGTTCAAAAATAATAAATCTTTTCATTTTTATACAAATAACGAACAAACGGTAACAGCTCCGACGAAAGTTAACTGAACAGGATTGTAGGAAATGTTATAACAAAGATGATAAAACTAATTACAATTCTATATGTCGTATAACAATCGCAAAAAAAATTATTTACGAAACCCTTACACTTTATATGTTTAAGGGGGCACAGGGGGGGTGAAGCAAGGGGGGTAGGGGCGGGGAATTTTGGCTAAACTCTTGTCTAAATATGTCTTTCTTATTTATATTCTTATTTATATTTTATATTCTTTTATTTATATTTTGAGTGAAACTGTCACCATTGAAGACTGACATTTTTCCCTAGTTGTGTTTATTATTAATTGTAATATCATGTTAACATTCCTGTTATTTGATTAATGCTACAAAGCAATTGGCATGTGCTGTTTTGTAGCATTGAAAATAAAATAAATAAATAAATAAATGGTTGTGGTCGATGGGCAAATAATCAGGCTCTTGCGCCCAACGCCGCCTATGTTTTCTGTGCTCTCGTTTTCGGACTGATTCTATCAACTGACTGCAAATAAATACGTAAAACCCATATAATTTTAAAGATTGAGAAGTACGCCAATTTTTTATATAAAACATTTTTCTCAATCTCGACTCATTTCAATACAAATCAACTTAACACACGAAGGTTGAAATTTAAAAGTGAAAAAATTACATTAAAACTTAAATTACAAGAAACCTACTGAATATATCGATTACACTCTAATAACGTTTTTTTTGTAGAGAATATAATTAAGGATTGAAATGGTGAAACAAAATTTATTCTATTGCTGTTTGCTTCTGAGATATTGATAAAATGATAAAAGCTTACACAAATACACTTAAACGGTTGTAGGGGGGGGGGGGCAAGAGTGGGAGGGCTGGGACTTTTTAGAAGATGTTCCTTATATGATCTACTAACATCCATGAAAAAATCAGCCGTTCACTAATTACTTCTGACAAAACAGTATTTTGTCCCTTTATTGACTGGGCTAAAAACGAAAGGATAGTCTTGGCTGAGGTCTTGCATACAAAAGAACAAAAAAAAGGCAAGTCTTGTATTTGTACTAAGAAAATCCGCTGGTCGCAGCATCATACAAAAATGTACCTGGTAACAATTCAGCCAACAATTTTGATTGTAATAAAATACCATTTAGACTAGTTCTGGAACAATCCGCTGGTCGCAGCACGAAACATACAGCGCGCTCCTAGCGATTACCCAGACAACTACTCGTATTGTTAGTTCTCTAAATACCCGCTAGGTCACAGCACTATCCTGATCACCGCGCTCCTAGCGACGATTAATAGAACCAGCTCCACACCTGCTTGTTGGTAATTCGCAGAACGTTGTCCACGCTCGTAAGAAGCCAGGTAACTCAAGATTATTACCGTTTGTTTGTAGTCTGTACGTCGACTCGGTCGTAGAAGGTGTGATAATGTATTCCTCCCTTTTTATCATTGTTTACGCGTTTGTTTTGATAGATATCGTCAATTGTGATGGTAAGTCTCATATTTTACTTTTAATTTTGAACTCAGTCGATGTAAAAAGTTAATTTTTCTATAATTGTTCAGTATTTAATTAAATTGTGTGTTTATATTTTTGTAAATGATACAATTATATTTTGTGAAAGTATACGTATCTATTAATTCAATCAGTAAAGCTCAGTTTATTTGGATACGTGTTTCTGACCTTATAATGTATATTTTTATATATCCAGACGTTGTTTTTAGGTATTGCAATAATTTGCAAATTAATAATGCTAGAGTGATACTTGATACTTTGGAACTTAGGATGGCTGTGAATAAACTTGCGAGAATACGTAATAATTTTTTCCCTGCAAAGTAATATAACCCAAGTGAAAAGAAATTAGAGTAATGTACATGTCGTTGATGTTTGACTTAAATATTTGTTATTTTACTTGGAAGGTAATAAATAATATTATTTCACATATCATATAGGCCTATACCAGTACTGACTTATCTACTAAAATATTTGGTACAATATAGTTTATTCAGTGTATTACCATTATTACTCGAACCTTAGAAAATATCAACAAATCAAGACAATTTATCTCAAATTTGCCAAACATTAGTTTGAATTGCTTTGTGTTTTCCCATATTACCAAAAGTCTTTAATGAAAATGTTAGATAATTTATGAAATTATTGGTTTAAAGTAGGACATAATATAGTACATATAGTACAGTACTTTATTGACTATCTATTGTAATTAATTGAAACCATGAAATGCTGGCTACACAATAAATTCAAACTTAATAAAGTATCTAGTAACCCAGAGAAGAACGCTTTCGATAACCTCGTGATAAGGCAACTTTACCAAAGAAATGCTAACTAGTGATCTTTCTAATACATTTTTCTGGTTTTGTTGGGCAAGTTAATTGAATATTTGCTTCTCACAATAAAGACGAAGACAGTTTAAAAAGAAAAATATTCATGGATTGTTCGAGATAGTTCGTCTTGTTAATAAAGCATAAGCTTCGCGACGTTAAAACCTAGCCTCTTCTTCAGGTAGGACGGAATCTCTGCATCATGACAATTTAATACACAAGTCTGGTAACACCGATAAACAAAATAGCTGAAAACTAAATATTTAAAGCAGTCAAACCAATAAGTGAAAATAATAAATATTAATCAACGCTTTCCAGTCATAGGGAAATACCAAAATTTCAGACAACGATTGACATATCATGTCACAATGTAAAGACCGAAAGACAAGCATTAAGACAAATTAAAATTGGTTAAGGAGGCGAAAGGGCTTAATGGTTTGGTGGAATAAGCTTCAAAGACATAAGGCATAAGACATCTCTGTTACATCTCTGTATTCAATTATATTGAGGCAATATTTTGAAAGAAGTTATCACCTTATTTTTCGGTACAGTGAATGTTTGTTAATTTTTTAGAGAAAAGATTGGTTTATTGGTTAGGACCATTAATCACAAATGCCTTTTAGCTCTGAAATAATACCGTTACTGTAACATGGTGTGTGTGTGTGTGTGTAGGTCCGTTAATGCAGAAAACGTTAGTTTAAGTTCCCTAGGCAAGGAAGAATTTCTTCTTAGAACTATCTCCTACGAAAGCAACACTATAATATTTTACAAATTGTGTAATAACGTTTTACATTTTGTTTTACATCACTTGCAGTAGTAGTAAAATATTTGCAGTAGAACCAGTTTTCCAAATCGTTCCTTTTCAGTTGCGTAGGTCTTGGATGGTTAGGATGTGGGTTGCCTCTGACTCATCCTTTCGCCCATGGCTCCTACTGTAAACAAAACAATAAACAGAATAATTTACGTAGTTCCTACTATAAAGAACGCCTAATAACAATTTTCTTTGTTGTTTTTACTTTATTATGATCAAAACTATTAAGAAAAAATCTGCGTTTGCTAACTTTTTCTATTTTTAGGGTTCAACATGACTCGTGGTTGACAATGTAGGCTACATTTTCAAGCTTATAGCATCACCACTAGGTCCAAGTACAACAAATTCATTCATAGAGTGATGAACAAACTACATTTAAGTTCAATAACACATACCTAATGTAACAACCAATCAAATTACAAAATCTCCAGCCCCCATTCATATTGTACACTCAATACATGAAATTAAAATAGTTTTTAGATTTAAATATCACATCGTGCTCAACTTTTGGTTTAATTTAATTGTGCGCACGGATAAAAATCGATGCATTTCAGATATACTTACTAAACTTAGTGATTTGATAACAAGAATCGGTTAAACAATGTATTTTAATTCCATTTAAAGAATGATTCGATGATTCCTTTACTCTTAAAACTGTAACCTGCAGAGGTTTCAAAATTCTACAGGCATTATCCGCTTTTTGAGGCCTTTTAAGGTGACACAGTACTCCCTATCCCACCCATGTTAAAATGACAGTTTTTAGGTACACATAACTTTTACAAATATTAACCTATCAACTTGAAATTTTTGTACTAAGTTTAATACAGTATTACCAACAATAATATGAAGCAAAAAATGTTTTTGAGCAAAATTAAATTGTTAGTATGATTTTAAAAATTTTATAAAATATTTTTAATTTTTTAACATAAAATATTTTTTTATTTCAAATTTTTTTGGTTGTCATGGAAACTGATTTGTATTATTGTTGCTAATCATATGAGGAACACACACAGCAATTTTTATTAAAATTGGATTATAATTGAGGAAGAAAAGTGTACCTGACTAAAAACCACTTGACTTTCGGAAAATGACAAAAGTACCCCCTGTCACGGGTAGTAGTAGGACCCTTGGGCATGTTTAAGTAAGAGTGTATAAAAGTCGCTCTATAGCTTAAAATAATTTTTTTCATAATATTTGGTATGTACATGTTCAGGAAAGTGTGTTCTACAAAACTAAATAATAAAAAATGTTTAAAAAAATTTAATATTTGACGGCGTACCCTCTGCGTCTTGATTAGTAGTAGGACCTTGGACATGCTAAATTAGGCTGCAATAGTTTATAAAAGTAGCTGAAAATTTAAAAAATAATTTTTTTCTTCCTTAATTTTTATTATCTACGTGTTCAGAAAAGTCTGTTCTACAAAACTAAATAATAAAAAAATTTTAAAAAAATTATATTTGAGTACTGTGTTACCTTAATAGGATTGTCTGATTATTCAAGACTGATTGGATTTATGATTTACCAATACGATAACCCAATAGATAAATGATGTAGATGTTCTGGTCAATTACTGGTATTGTAGTTACCAGCAGGGCTCAGGCCCTTGATCATTGGGTAACTGTACTCTCGCCCACGCACTAAATAAAAAACCTATCTAACCGTCCAGCCAAATAGACGGCGTCTATGGACAAAGGGTGATTTCAACACAACAGTCCAGTCAAATTTCCGTCTCAGTTGAATCCGCAATTCTCTCCGTCAGTTGGTTTCAGTCAGTAAGGTCACTTTATTTATGGTGATCTTACGGTCAAGAATTTTACTATCAAAACACAACATTCCGTCAATGTTTCATTGCAGATCTTGATGATTGTATTACTTTTTTTTATGTCAAACACATGCATCAAACGACCATCAGTATACGTCAGGCGTCCAAATCCAAATTATCGGGGTGGAACGAAGTCTGAAATTGGCTGACGAACGCCGGCAGAGCGACTGACGGACCTGCATCGGAACTGCGCCGGATGAGTGTGGATAGTGCAGTAGAAAATCCAATGAAGAATAGCATGGCAACCTCCCTGACATTTTCCATTTCCATACACAACTGAACGGCAACAATACTCGTACCTCGCCCTTACTTGGTACGTCGCCTGTAGTTGCCCGGGACCACCGAGGAGGCTGGCTCTGGCCTGGGGCGAGTACCCTGGCGTGGGCGGTTGTGACTCTGTCTCAGGACAACCAGTTGTTTGGATGTCGTCTACTCCTGGACAAATAACTGGTCTGTCCCGACCGCTTCCCAACCATCCACACTCCACAGTCCTGCATACGTTTAGATAGAATTCGATAACACATCGATTGCTACCAGGTCGTCGGCAGTTATTGAATGGAAGAAATATAAGTGGGTTGCCTGATGGTTAGAGCTCTATACTTTGGTCACAGCGTACCAGGTTTGAATATCGCTAATTTCCAATGGCTATTTAACAATGTGATGATAATTATATTCATAGTTCTATAACCACAGCCAAGAAAATGGTAACATTTTAAAAAATAGTCTCCTTTCTTCAAAACATTTAAGAAAACACAACAAATTTCTCTATCTTCTCTATCCTTCGTTGTTTAGTAAAATTCTTTGATACTTAGATTTGTTTTCAATTCTTCGTTTTAAATACAATAAATACATTTGCAGCACTTACATTGAATTTATGTAAAAATTGGTGCTTGATCCCCCAAAAGATTGCCTAGTGTATTTGATTGTATTAAGTGACTAGTTTTTTTTAGCAAACAAATTCTTATCTCTAGAATAACTTCTGATCAAAATATACCCTAAAACCGTAGGTCTACATTTAACTGTACATCTAAACATTAGTCTACAAGCGACGAAAAGCCCGCCAACCTTGTTTTGCAGTTCCCGCCAATATCCCCCTATTCCCTCCATTGTTTTAGCCGAGCCAATGCCGATTTGATTTCGTCGCGATACTAGCAGCTCAGCAGCTGCCACTTCAAACCAAAGAGCATATATCCGCTCCTGTTTGTACAAGGACTAGTGGTCGACCCTGTTTATGAAAGAAGATTAGTTTAAATTTGCATCAGAATTCTGAATTTTATTAACTCTCACACTTGAATTCGTCGAGGCTAATAGCTTAACAATTGAAACATACAAGTAGAATCCTCAACCTGTAGTAAAATCTAAAACTTTTTGGATTTGTGTTTCGTGTCCGACATTTCTTATTTTTAGGTAAATTATTCAACGTTCGCATTACATTTTGCATCTCATGCCAGAGAAAAAACAATTTGTTTACAAACAAATCGGCGTTTTAAACAATAATCATTTTAAAGATAGTAAAATATG